CGTGGCAGAGGGAGGGGGTGGGGGGAGGGGCCGGGCAGGGGGGAGGGGCCGGGGCAGGGGGGGAGGGGAGGGGAGGGGACGGGGCGGGGAGGGGCCGGGGCGGGGCGGGCGGGCGCTGACGCCGGCCCGCCCGCAGCGGCCTTCACCATGATCGGCACCTCCACGCACCTGTCGGACCAGTGCTCGCAGTTCGCCATCCCCTCCTTCTGCCACTTCGTGTTCCCGCTGTGCGACGCGCGCTCCCGGGCGCCCAAGCCGCGCGAGCTGTGCCGCGACGAGTGCGAGGTGCTGGAGAGCGACCTGTGCCGCCAGGAGTACAGCATCGCGCGCTCCAACCCGCTCATCCTCATGCGGCTGCAGCTGCCGCGCTGCGACGCGCTGCCCCTGCCCGAGAGCCCCGACGCCGCCAACTGCATGCGCATCGGCATCCCGGCCGAGCGGCTGGGCCGCTGTGAGTGCGGGGGGGGGGCGGGGGTGCCTGCGGGGGCCAGGGGGGTGCCTGCTAGAGACGGGGGGGTGCCTGCTAGAGCCCCGGGGGGTGCCTGCTAGAGACGGGGGGGTGCCTGCTAGAGATGGGGGGGTGCCTGCTAGAGACGGGGGGGCGTGCCTGCTAGGGCCCTGGGGGGGTGCCTGCGAGGGCCCCGGGGGGGGTGCCTGCGAGGGCCCCGAGGGGGGTGCCTGCTAGAGACGAGGGGGGGGTGCCTGCTAGAGACGGGGGGTGCCTGCTAGGGCCCGGGGCCCCCTCCGCCCTGGCGCAGTCACGGGGTCCTTCCAGCGCAGGCTCACAGCCGGTGCGCCCTGCCCCCCTAGGGACCCCAGTGAGTCCCTACCGCCCCAGCTTTGGTCCGCTTGTCCAAGGTGGGCGTCTTCGTGGCACCTGCCCCAGAAGGCTGTCTGTGTCTGTGTCTGCTTCCTCCCGGGCTTGGGGTCTGGAGTCACTTCTCCAGCGAGGCTGGGGGCTCCCAGAGCAGGCACAGCTCGGCACCAGGGCAGTCAAAGCCTGGCCTCTGGGCTCACTGGCTCACGCCCCAGTCCTGGCTGCAGGGCTTCCCCAAGGTGGGAGCCTGGACAAGTAGTTTAAATACCAGCTTCCTCCCATCGCTCGGGGATGAGGACTCCTAACCTCCGAGGCTGGGAGGAAGATCAAGTGAGTTCATCTTGAGAAAGTACTTAGAACGGCGCCCACACCGGCAAGCTCTGCAGAACTGCCGTTCACCGCCCGCACCGCAGGGCTCTCCGAGCCTCCCCTGGGCTGCAGAGATGCCCGTGGTGTCCTCGCTGGGTGGCAGAGCGGCTCCGCGGCTGTGGCCTAGGGGTTCACCTTCCCCCCTTCACTTCGGCTTTGCCTCTGCTGCAAGTGAACACGAGGTTGGGGTTGACGTCCCCATTCTGGAATGGAGGCGCCTGGTGGGTCCCAGAGGCCGTCTCAGGATCGGGGTAGAACCCCAGATGGCTTTTCTTCCCCACCTGTGTGTGTCCCTGATGCACCTCAATTTTTTTTTAAAATGTTTTTTAATGTTTATTTTTGAGCGAGAGAGTGACAGGGAGAGTTCAGGGGAGGCACAGAGAGAGGGGGAGACACAGAATCCAAAACAGGCCAGGCTGCGAGCTGTCAGCACAGAGTCTGACACGGGGCTTGAACCCACAAACCGTGAGACCATGACCTGATGCTGAAGTCAGACGCTCAACCGACCGAGCCACCCAGGCACCCCAGATGCGCCCCAGATGCGCCCCAGTGTAATGCGTGGGCTCGGGGCTCTATGATGTCATTACTTTCAGTGCTGCTCTTCTTGGAAGTTGGATACGTCCACTCTTCCGGAAATTCCAGTCGGGGACATGCGGGCGCAGTGGCTTTGCTGCCCCTGCTGGTGCCCGAGTTGCAGAGGGGTGCTCTCTGCACCCCGGGGCTGGGCCGCTGCCCAGTGCCCTCGGGTCCGCTAACGCCTCTTCCCCCCGCAGACCAGCAGTGCTACAACGGCTCCGGCACAGATTACCGGGGCACCGCCAGCACCACCAAGTCAGGGCACCACTGCCAGCCGTGGGCCCTGCAGCTCCCGCACAGCCACCACCTGAGCAGCGCCGACTTCCCCGAGCTCGGAGGGGGCCACGCGTACTGCCGGAACCCGGGGGGCCAGATGGAGGGCCCTTGGTGCTTCACGCAGAATAAAAACGTACGCATGGAACTGTGTGACGTACCCCCTTGTAGTATGTATTCTCTCTCTCTCTTTTTTTTTTGAAAGTGTTGACTGTTGGTGCGACCCGGGGGTGACGTGGGGCCGGGAGGCTGGTGGCGCCCTCCCTCCCTCCCTCCCCCCGCCCACGTCACCACCGGGATTGTTGGTTTTAAGTAAAGCCGTTGACTTTATGGAAGTAATATCTGGTCATTCTGGGACGGTCTAAGTTCCAGACAAGTCTGAAGAGTCATGTGCTGATGGCCCCTAATTGCAGCACCCCGGGGACTGCTGTTTATGTCCTGGGAGCCCCCTGTCAGCCCCCTGCCGTGTGTGCGGTGCTGGGAAGGGTGTTGGGTCAGGTCGCTCGTTTCTCCATGAGCGTGGTCACAGTGGTATTAACAAAGGTGCTTCCCGGCATCTGTCGCTAGGGACACAGCTCTGCCCCCCGCTCCTCTGCACCGGCCTTCACAAGGGGCTTGGCAGAGTGAGGAACAGCAGAACTTCAACCTTGTAACTGGTTTCGCTGCGGTTTCTCTGTTAAATGAGGAACAGGAGGAGAGGGGGTGATTCAGGGCTGCAGACTTTACAAACGTGATTCCTGTACTGCAACCATTTATTTACGTTTTGCCGGCTCCCGTCAGCCTGGACACCCCGAGAGAAGAGCCTTCTGAGTCTTACATTTGGACCCTGGAGGCAGTGGGTTGGTGGAACGTTACTGAGAAGACACAGAGATGAGGAGAGATGAACAGTGCAGCAAAGCCAGGCTCGCTCTGTCCCCTGTCAGCCCCGGGCCGAGCACGGTTCCACCTGTAGTCGCCGGGAGTGACAACTGGCATCTTCATGTTCTGGAAGCATAAGATTGGGCAGTTCCAAATTTGCCACTCATAGCTCCACAGATCTTTCTTTTCTTTTTCTTTTTTTTTCTTTCTTTTCTTTTTTTTTTTTTTTTTTTTTGAGAGAATGAGAGCAGGGGCAGAGGGAGAAGAGCGAGAGTCTTAAGCCGAGCCCGACGAAGGGCTTGATCTCTGTGAGATCATGACTTGAGCCGAAATGAAGAGCCAGATACTCGGCTCACTGAGCCCCTCAGGAGCCCCTCACCACAGAGCCTAACACAGACCTTCAGGTGATTGATCGCTGCACAAATAAATTTTAGGATGAAAATGTCGGTAGTTAGATTATCGTAAAGCTACTCCGTGGGACGCTACTGTTGTCTAAGAGAGCTTCCTGCGAGGGAGGGTGTCCATGGTGTCCTGTTGACGGAAAGAGGGCAGTTGTAGGGCCATGGCTGTGTTATTTCTGCTGCCTCTTCCTCCCCTTCATCATCCCCTCCCTCTTCATCCTTCCCTCCTGTCCCTTCTCTGTCTCTTTCTTCATAAAGGAAAAAGGGTTGTTTGGGGGGGGGGGGGCGGGTGCACACATAGCCACCTGCTTTTTATGGATGAAGTTTTGGATCCTACACAGCAAACTTTTAGCAGTGGTTTCCCACAGCCTACAGAAATGTTAAAATAGAAGACATTTTTTCAATGAGCAGTTACTACTTTTGTAAATAGAAATAAAACAAAACATAAAAATATGTACGTTGTTTGGTTTGACAATTCTAAGAATACCTTATATTGCAAAAACATTTGCACTTAAGGGTCCGAAATACTAAGGATACTTATTTCAGTATCACTTTTAGTAGCTAAATCAGAAACAGGCTAATTGTTTACCAGTGGGGACTTGGAGGCTGATGACCGTGGAACTGGGTGCGGCTATTGAAGAATGCGCAGGGCTGTCTGGTTTTCATGAGACCTTGTCTGAGATGTGTTTTTCTGCCACAAAACCAGGAACAGGAAAATATCGATGATATGATTCTATTTGAAAAGAATTCTACTTATAATTCTTTGAAAACATGTCAAATTGTTGCTTCTGTGTGTCAAACTAGCTGAATATCATTTATTTCATGTTCACCTTAAAATATACCCAGAAAATCAGGTGAACACCCACCTGTTCTCAGTGGGATAGCGTTTGGTGAATGGGCTGTTAGGAATACCCACTTTCCTGTAATATATAGTCATTAATGTGCACGTTATCTGGTGGTGATTTTGAAAAGTCATTGGTAAGACAAATGGTCACCCAGGTGTTTGGACTATGCTCACATCACTGACCTTGACCTGAAGGGCATGGAATCTTCCCCAGCCCTTCTGATGACAAATGACCATGACCCACAATCTCCACTGCCCCTGAAGCTTCTAGAACATCTGCCTCGAGGGTGGGGCCAGGAGAGTTTTGATTTTATGTGTGTGGGGTTGGGGGACATGGGGCTGATGGAAGGGACAGACAGACACTGGTTGGGGACAGTGCTTCAGCCCGGCGTGCCCCGTGTGTGTCTCCGTAAATCCTGCAGAGGGAGACAAAGCGTTGCTTCTTGTGCAAAAAAGTAAATCCACATGGAGTCCTCCGTCTATACATCCCGCCATGCTTTCTTCAAGGCTCCAGCCCCAGCTACGTACTGTATGGGGTCAAACTCACTGGCTGCCAGTGCTCTTCGAAATCAAATGCAGTTTTCATTATTATCTTAAAAGAATATGTGTCCGTTATACAAAAAATGTGGAAAATCCTAAAATGCTGCAGACCAGGGTCACTGCTCACCTACTACCTTGCTTATTACTCTGATAAGACCCTTTGAATTCATTTATCTTCTGTGCTGTGTATTCCCATTTGATGCCTTGGTGACAGTTGGGGATCGTGTTTCATAAATGTACAGCAGGATGTGCGATTTTCAGGATGTTACCCTTGTTTTAGGCATGGCGTGCAGTTCTGCCCCTCCGTGTGACACGTGGAAATGTCCACTGTGTTTGAATATTGTAGTGGGGTCGGGGAGGGGGGCTGGTGGAGAACGTCGAGTGGGAAGGGGGATGCTTCTTATAACCTCGTGACCCTTGCTGTTCACAGGCCCCCAGGACAGCAGCAGGATGGGAATTCTGTACATCTTGGTTCCGAGCATCGCGATTCCCCTGGTCATCGCGTGCCTATTCTTCCTGGTCTGCATGTGCCGGAATAAGCAGAAGTCCTCTGGGTCCACCCCGCAGCGGCGGCAGCTGATGGCGTCACCCAGCCAGGACGTGGAGATACCCCTCATCAGCCAGCACAAGCAGGTCTCCTGCCCGTGCGGGCATAGCCTCTACCCAGAGACCGCTGGCCCGCGGGATTCGGCTTCCTGACGTACTCATTACACAGCACAGAGCTATGCTGTCCTGTTCTACCCGGTCCTAGTCTGTTTATTTTATTTTTACTTTCTTTTATTTTATTTTTACTTTCTTTTACTTTATATTTTTATTTTATTTTTTATTTTATTTATTTTCACTTTCTTTTTACTTTCTTTTCTTTTTACTTTATTTTAGTTTTACTTTATTTTTAACTTTTTACTTCACTTATTTTTACTTTATTTTATCTTTACTTTGTTTTAATTTTATTTTTATTTAATTTAATTTTTTACTTATTTTTACTTTCTTTTCTTTTTACTTTACTTTGTTTTATTTTATTTTATTTTATTATTTTTTAAGAGAGAGAGAGCACAAGCTGTGGAAAAGGGCAGAGGGAGAGATAATCTCAAGCAGGCTCCACACCCAGCATAAAGCGCAACACGGGACTCGATCCCACGACCCTGGGATCATGACCTGAGCCAAAACCAGGGGTCGGATTCCCAACTGACCGAGCCCCCCAGGCTCCCTGACACATAACTATTTTAAACTGCCCTCGATTTCGCTGTATCTTGTCTAAATCATGTAAGACCTTCGTTCCCTTAGGGAGTAAGCGGCAGGCGTGTTTGGGGTCCACTGCCTCGCCGTCTCTGGCTTCCCCCCTGCCTGGACCTGTGCATTATCGGGAGCCAGGGGAGCCATCCTGAGCCTGCAGGGTTCCGCGCTCCCCACAGGAGAACAGAAGGGAAAGGGCTCAGATTGGCCCACGGCCTGCGAGCCAGGCTGGCTCTTCTAAAGGGTTGGGGTGTGTTTTCTGGTCCTCATGCAGTGGGCTGCAGTAGGCTCCTAGTGAAGACAGGACAGGGTTCGCTGAAGGCCACCATCCCGAGAGCTCTTAGGACAGCGAGAGCACCCCAAAATACAGCACAAGAGAGTAGTCGTCACCTGCCTGCCTCACGTGCAGGAACGTTTCTGCTACTTGCAAGCTTTGGGGGGACATTCGTTCCTGTCTGGGCTCCAAGGGGGTCTTCACTGTGGTCAGGAGCGAGTGGCCTCACCCAGCTCCGTAGCCAGCAGTCCCTGCATGTTTGTCGGGGCTGTGGGGGTGGATGGGGCGGAGTGCGGAGCCCCTTGCAGCGGGAGCCTCCCCCAAGAAGGACAGGGCTGGCCGTAGAGCTGAGAGGGGCAAGGTTTGGGCTGGTCTCACGCAGTCCGATGGTGCTTCTGTCCTAAGGCATCTAATCAGGGGGAGCAGTGAGACGGGCCCACAGGGCAGCTGGAGAGTGACGGCCAGGACGCTAAAAACAGCGGGAATCGTGGGAAGCCCACCGCAGGCTTCAAGACAGAGCTTAGGTCTCGTGATGCTCACTCATGCCTGGACCTCGTCCAAGGGCGGGCACCTGTCGAGGGCAGCAGTACAGGCCCCGGGTGGGGGGTGCGGCCGGGAGGGTCCAGGGTGCCCCGGGCACAGCGGAGCCCAGCCTGGCTGGGGGGTGGTGTGTGCTTCAGTGTGGACAGGGGTGCACCCACACTCTGGAACGGTGTCTGGCGTCTGGGGGCACATTGCTTGCAGGCTGGTTGGGACCTGTTGAAGGTTTTCAGGCAGCCTCACGGCTTCGGGGCATGTTTAAGGGCAGAGAGTGGTGTTCAGGGCTGGCTGAGTCTGGGGTGGGCAGGGCCGGGGGGTGGGACTTGGCTGGGACTGCCCCCTGCGCCTCCCCGGCTCCCAGCTGCCCTGCTTGGCCCCGTCCCGTGCTGGGAACAGAAGTGATTCACTGGGACTTTCCTCCTCGGCAGGCCAAGCTCAAGGAGATCAGCTTGTCCTCAGTGAGGTTCATGGAGGAGCTCGGGGAGGATCGCTTCGGGAAGGTCTACAAAGGCCACCTGTTCGGCCCGGCGCCAGGGGAGCAGAGCCAGGCCGTGGCCATCAAGACGCTGAAGGACAAGGCGGAGGGGCCCCTCCGGGAGGAGTTCCGGCATGAGGCCATGCTTCGGGCGCGGCTGCAGCACCCCAACGTCGTGTGCCTGCTGGGCGTGGTGACCAGGGACCAGCCCCTGAGCATGGTCTTCAGCTACTGCTCGCACGGGGACCTCCACGAATTCCTGGTCATGCGCTCGCCGCACTCGGACGTGGGCAGCACCGACGACGACCGCACGGTGAAGTCCGCGCTGGAGCCGCCCGACTTCGTGCACGTGGCGGCGCAGATCGCGTCGGGCATGGAGTACCTGTCCAGCCACCACGTGGTGCACAAGGACCTGGCCACCCGCAACGTCCTCGTGTACGACAAGCTCAACGTGAAGATCTCGGACCTGGGGCTGTTCCGGGAGGTGTACTCGGCCGACTACTACAAGCTGATGGGCAGCGCGCTCCTGCCCATACGCTGGATGTCCCCCGAGGCCATCGTGTACGGCAAGTTCTCCGTGGACTCGGACATCTGGTCGTACGGCGTGGTGCTGTGGGAGGTCTTCAGCTACGGCCTGCAGCCGTACTGCGGCCACGCGAACCAGGACGTGGTGGAGATGGTGCGCAGCCGCCAGGTGCTGCCCTGCCCCGACGACTGCCCGGCCTGGGTGTACGCCCTGATGCTCGAGTGCTGGAACGAGTTCCCCAGCCGGCGGCCCCGCTTCAAGGACATCCACGGCCGGCTCCGGGCCTGGGGCAACCTGTCCACCTACAACAGCTCGGCGCAGACCTCGGGGGCCAGCAACGCCACGCAGACCAGCTCCCTGAGCACCAGCCCGGTCAGCAACGTCAGCAACGCCCGCTACGGGGGCCCCAAGCCCAAGGCCCAGCCCTTCCCGCAGCCCCCATTCATGCCCATGAAGGGCCAGATCCGGCCCATGGTGCCCCCTCCCCAGCTCTACATCCCCGTCAATGGGTACCAGCCGGTGCCGGCCTACGGGGCCTACCTGCCCAACTTCTACCCGGTCCAGATCCCGATGCAGATGGCCCCGCAGCAGGTGCCCGCCCCGGCGGTCCCCAAGCCCGGCTCCCACCACAGCGGCAGCGGCTCCACCAGCACGGGCTACGTCACCACGGCGCCCTCCAACACGTCCGTGGCGGACCGGGCAGCCCTGCTCTCCGAGGCCACCGAGGACGCACCGCACGCCCCAGAGGACACGGCCCAGAGCCCTGTGCAGCAGGCCGAGGAGGACGGCTCCGTCCCGGAGACCGAGCTGCTGGGGGACAATGACACCCTGCAGATGGACGAGGCCGAGGTCCAGCTGGAGGCCTGAGGGGCACGCGGGGCGGCTTGGGCACCCCCTTCCCCGCCCCCCCCGCCCCCGCTGGTTTGCGCTGTCCCCGAGCGAAGTCTCCTCCGCTGTCCTCGTGAGCACAGACAGAGCTGCCGTTGTGGCCACTCGTGCGTGGACGGTCTCCGTGCTGGCGCCGGCAGGGGGCCCGGGAAGATGCGTGGCGCCCACCTGCACGGTCTGCATCCCCTGAGGTTAGACCACAGCGCGCACTGCCCGGCTTTGCAGGAAGGAGGCTTCCACGCCAGCATGTGGATTGAACGTGGTGAATCTTCTGGAATATGGGCCCGCAGGGGCAGTGAGGTGCAACCTTGGGCTTTGAGATTCCCGGCGGCCAGCCTGTGCGAGATCGGAGGAGGCCTGCGTTCCCCCCGCCGCCCCCTGCCCGTGACTGTCTCCCTCCAGCCGCCCGCCAGGACCCTGCTGCCCGCCATGGTCCCCCGAGCCCGGGCTTCCGCAGTGCAAGTTCTGTGTGCCTTAAATGAAAATGTGCCTTAAAAAAAAAAACAACCGATGTGATTTTGTATTTTTGTGACGTGGTTTGAATTACCCTGCATGTGTATTTTGCCCACTTGTCTGGAAAGTGTTTCTGGGGTTTGGAAACGTTAGGAGCAACGTTGTACAGAGCACAGTATTGTTATTTTGTTCCTTTAGAATCATGTACAGACCTTAAAAATGTAATTTATGTGGTTTTCCTATGCCACTCCCAGTGAAGTATTGTGAGCTTTAGTAATTTAACTGTTTACGTTACCCGCTGTGGAATGCCACCTGGTTTTCCCGTTTGTTTGTTTGTTTGCTCGTGTTCCTGCGAGATGGAGGCGAGGTCCGTTCATTTCAGCGCCGCCGGGAGAGAAGGCTCACGGCTCCCCGCGCCGCCCGCACGCCCACAGCTCCCACTTGTAACTCCCGTACCTGGCGTATCCAATAAAGCGAAACAGAACTTTTGGTCGGCTCTCTGCAGGTGGTGAGGACGTCGGGCAGTGGAGGGGCCGCGTGAGCGATCGCTGGTGACCGGGGCTGGGGTCTTGACCAGGGCCAGCAACAGCCTCCGAGCCTGGACTTCCGCTGCCAGGTCACAGATGGAAACAAGCTCGTCGCTTGTCCGTTAGGGTCTCTCAGGGGTGGATTGATTGCAGACGATGAGAAGTTGGTGTTTGGTTTTAGCCTCTCTCCTCCTGAGGCCCTGTGGCCCCTGACAGTGTGAGACCGGGAGCCGGGCATGTCCCAGGGCCCTGGGGCAGGGGTGAGCTGCGAATGGGCTACCTTCCCACCCAGGGCCGCCTGTGCCTCTGCTCGCTTGGCAGCTCAGCCCCTCTGAATGGGCCCCCCCCCCACCGGGGGCCAGGGCTCCAGGGCTTCCTGTCGGGAGAGGGGCCTCTGTAACAGCACAGCTCGGGGGGACCAGCACCGTGGCCCAGGGCCGGCCTGGAGGAGGCCGTCGGAGCCGGTCGGAGTGGGTCCGGGCACTGGGGCCGGCTCGGCTTGGCTGGGAAAGTGCATCACGTGTGCGCCACCCTCTCTGCTCCCGGGCGGGTCTGGATGGGGCCAAGAATGTGCCTGTATGAGCACCCAGAGGGTGGGTGGTCAGGATACCGGGCGAGCCACGGAGACACAGAACGGACCCTCTGATCGCGCAGCCCCTCGGGTCATCTTGAACTGCCCTGTGCAGCCCTCACCCACTGCTTTGGCATAATGCTGCTCACACAAGAACGGAGATGGGGGCGTGTATATCCTGAACTCGGAGGGACTCTTCCCTGCTTTACAGAGGAAGCGGCGTGATGGGCGGTTGGGACTGGGAGCCCTCCAGACCCCCCCCCGAGACCCCCCCCGGGAGCCCCCCCCCAGCTCCTGGTGAGTGTGGTCCGAGTAGCAGAGGAAAAGAACTCAGGGTTGAATGGAACTACTTCCCATTTCCACTGATCTGAAAGAGGAACTTAAAAATTGTATCTCTAATTTGGTGCACCTGATGGTTTAACCGTTGGGTTGACACCTGAGAGCGGAAAATGGGAACTAACCAGCCGGTGGCCCTCTCCGCGGGCAGAGGCGGGCACCAGCCGCCACCTCAGCTCCCCGCCCCTCGGTGCCCAGCCCGGGACAGCGGATCGGGCCGCGGGCACCAGGGAGTCCTCAGCAGAGCCTCTGTGGGGCTTTTTTGCGGAGGGGGAGAGGCTTTGAATGGGGGGATTTTGTTTCTTGGCTAAATGTAGCCTCTTTTGTTACAGCTCTAACTGTAAAGTCTCTTGTATCTTCAGGACGGTGACTGAGTTTGTGGAGTCCACTGGACAACAGTGACTTCGTAGAGAGGTTTCCACACCACCGATGTTAGAGCGAAGTTGCATGATTCAGACACACGTCGCGTGCGCTGTGCGCGGACCGCACGCCTGTCGTTGTCCATCCCGCAGGGGGAGGTCGCCGGGCTACTGAGTAACTCGTGTAAGTGTGATCAGCTCAGCCAAGCCGTCCGAAGCCACGAATAGCTTGTGCAGCTTCAAATAGCTTTTTCAGTTCTTCTGGTTTTTGATAAACGATCTTTGTTGAAACAGCCCGTCAGAGCAGTGGCTGTTTTCTGTACTAATTTTAGAGGGATGGACTGAACGCCTCGGCGTACGGTAGCTCCCCCTCTGAAACAAGACGCTTTGTGCTTCTCTCCACATTGAAATGTTGTTGAAATAGGCTCCCTTGACATTCGGTTCCGCCGAGGAAATGGAGTTCAGAGCACCATCTGGAAATCTTACCACCATGACCCAAGGTGACCTTCGCAGGGTCCGTCTCCTCCCTTCACGCGCCCATCTCCCCCTTCATCAGTCCCCGAAGTACTAGAGACTAAGTACTTCCTGGCCTGGTACTTGGTGAGCACATAGCCAGTGTCTCTTGCAATAGGAGAGATGCTTCATCAGGTGGGGGAAGCCTGGGCGTAGCTTCGCTGGCACCGGTCCGTGAGGACACGAGCCCTGAGCTCAGATGCTCATAGTGTAGATGGTCTGACTGCGCGGTTATGACTCTGTATTTCAGTTTTGCTTTCGTTTCACTTAAGTACTGCACGGTGAATACGCTCTGTAGTTCAGACACAGCCCATCCTGTCCCCCCCCGTCTCCCTCCAGGTAACCCCCGCGTTGGCTCGCTCTGGGTGCACCCAGGTTTTAATGCTTGCATAAACACGTCTAGATGTTCCCATACGTCTCCCTTTAATACGCAAGCGGTCCCTTCTCTACAGGTCGTATCCTGCATTGCTTTTCTTCATGGTAACTGTGTCTTGGGGCTCTCTGCCCTCGGTGGGGAGCTAGTCTGCTGGCCGGCAGTGCCCCTGCTGGTGCGTGAGGGCGCCACCTGAAGGTGGTAGGTGTCACTGCGGCGCCTCCCCGGGGGGTCCTGTCACCTGGCTGCCTCCAGTGATGTCAGTGCCAGTCCAAAGCCCCCAGGCCCGGAGTGCCGTCCGCCTGCAGGCATAGGCGGGGAGGGGGCTGAGCGGCACTAAGAAGCTTGGGCGCTAGTGCATGTTTTTAGAAAGATGGTGGGGGGGCTCCTGGGGGGCTCAGCAGGTGAAGCATCGAGTCTTCATTTTAGCTCAAGTCATGATTGTGGGTTTGAGCCCCACATTGTGGTGTGACCCCTGCCTGAGATTCTCTCTCTCTCTCCCTCTCCCTCTCCCCTGCTGTTCACTCTCTCTCTCTCTCTAAAAAAAGAGCAAGTTAACATTTTTTAACTCACTAGTATTGCTTTTTCTTGAATTTGCCCTGTTCACGTTTTCCAGTCTGAAGTGCTGAGGTTTTAGTGAAAACGTTGCTCGGAGGCAGAGAAGCAGATTGAGTAACAGCCCTTGCGTGTTGGAAGGCCTTAGGGGCACATGCAGGCACCCAGGGAGAGACAGGACCAAATGAGAAAACCCCAGAAGGAAGCCGTATGGGTACCCGCCACCCCAAGATGGGAACCCCCACACCTGCCTGCCTCGCCCCCAACCCCGGCTTCGGGTAATCGAGTGCAGGTGCCATTCGCTACCACAGCCACCAGGGGGCGGGGGGAGCTGAGTGCAGGTGAAGGGTGTTCCCTGCTTTCCTGATCTTTCTCAGTGGAGGGGAGAAGGTGTGCGGGCAGGTTAGAGGGCCTTCGGGGCAGGAAAGGCAGCCTGGCCACTCCGTGTGCTCTTGCTGCCCCTACTCCTACAAGCTCCGTGTTGAACCTTCTCCTTTTCCTGTAAAGGAAGGGTGTGTAGACAGGTGGACCAGAGTGCACCCTGAGAAGGTCTTCATGTCACATTGACACGTGACACGGCCTGCCTCTACGACGCCTGATTCCATGTCTTTTTGTTTAAAGATACATTATAGTCATGCCCAGAAGAGCCGTCTTCTTTCCTTACTAGAAAATGTCTCCTCAGTATGGTGTCTTTAATGGAAAATTGCACCAAAGCCACCTCTCTGGGGGGAAGCCAGTCTAAGCTGATGAAAGAATGTGCAGCCATGAGGCGCTTGGGTGCCTTGGTCAGTCGAGTGTCTGACTCTTGATTTCGGCTCAGGTCATGATCCCAGGGGCATGGGATTGAGCCCCACATCAGGTTCTGCACTGAGCACGGAGCCTGCTCAAGGTTCTCTCTCTCCCTCTCTCTCCCTCTCTCTCTGACCTTCTCCCCCCGCCCGACACTTTCTCTCTCTCTCAAATGTTTTTTCTTTAATTAAAAAAAGTATATGCAACTCTAGAATTTTAAGAAGATTCACCATGACTTTGAGATGCACAAGTTAGGCTATAAGAGCCCAGGAAGAGAGTGAAGAAACTAACGTGCAAGTTTCCAGAAGGATGGTGTCCACGTCAGGACCCTTCCTCTGCTCCCTGGTTTCCATTCTCAGTGTGTCTGGCAGAGCTCTGCCCGCAAGGGTGCACTTCGGCCGCGGCACCAAGTCAGACGGAAGTCTGAGCCTGCACAACTTTTACAGGTGACAAGTGGCGTGCAGGTGGGACACTTCCACGTCTGGCGTTTACCGTGTTTCCAGACTCTTAAGGCGCCGCACCTGCACGCTGCTCACCCCGGGAGACCCACAGCGTGTTGTAATCGGGAGTGCTTTCCGGGCTCCGGAGAAGGCACTTCCCTTCCCTTCGGGTAGAGATCTTCGGGCCCCTCAGTCTCCACTGCACTGGCCATCACTCTATTTCTTCACAGCTTAATTGTGCTGTAGTTGACGCCCATAAAATTCACCCCTTCCGAGTGCACAATGCAGTGATTTTTCGTAAATTTGCATAGCGTGCAGCCTTCATCCTCATCTGACTTTAGAACATTCCTATCCCCTCCCAGAGATCCTTCATGCACATCAGCCCTGAGCTATCTGGTTTTTGTCTTCAATGGATTTGCCGTTGCCGGACATTTCACAGAAATGGAATTATACGATACGTAGCGCATTGCTTCTGGCTTCTTGGGCCCAACAATGTCCTTGAGGTCCATCTGTGTTGTAGTGCGTATCAGAAGTTCCCTTTATGGCTGCGTAGGATTCCATTGTATGGCTATACCACATGTTTTATCCACGCATCTGTCAGTGAACATGTGGATGTTTCCAGCTTCTGGAGGTTGTGAATAGTGCTGTTGTGAACATTGGTACATGTTCCTATGTGGACAGAGGTTTTCGTTTCTCTCGGGGAGCTTCCTAGGAATGCAATTGCTGGGTCATACGGTAAATCAGTGACCTTTCTAAGAAATTTCCCAAACTATTCTCAGAAGTAGCCGCATCATTTTACCTTCCCACCAGCAATGTTAGAGGACTCAAGTTTCTTTTTTTAAAAATCATTTTTTAATGTTTATTTATTTTTGAGATAGAGAGACGAGGGGAGGGCCAGACAGAGAGGGAGACATAGAATTCGAAGCAGCCTCCAGACTCTGAGCCGTGAGATCGTGACCTGAGCTGAAGTCGGGCACTCAACCGACTGAGCCACCCGGGAGCCCCAA